TCTGCCTGCCTCTCTTTCTCTCTCTCTCTCTTTCTCTCTCTCTCTCTCTCTCTCTCTCTCTCTCTGCGCGCACACGAGCAAATACATGCTTCTGACATGACTGTTGCTAAATATGACAAACTAATAATTAAGGAGCAGGGGTCATTCTAGGAAAAGAAAGATGACAAACAGTTCCCTTCAGACATGAAGTTTATTAAAAGTCCTCCCGGCCATGGCTCGGCCTTGAGGTGGGAGGAAGAAAGTATTAGTCAGAAAAGGTTACAATATACAAAAGACGACAAAATGGCCTTCAAGGGAAGGAGAGGGTTAACCTTTAAAACCTGGAGAAGAGCTTCATTAAGAGCGAGAATAGGCCGGGCGGTGGTGGCGCACGCCTTTAATCCCAGCACTCGGGAGGCAGAGGTCGGCGGATCTCTGTGAGTTCGAGGCCAGCCTGGGCTACCAAGTGAGTTCCAGGAAAGGCGCAAAGCTACACAGAGAAACCCTGTCTCGAAAAATCAAAAAAAAAAAAAAAAAAAAAAAAAAAAAAAAAAAGAGCAAGAATAAGAGAGGGGTCCTAGGAAGAGCCAGAGAAGCTTCTTCAGAGCAAATCCTCAAGGCACCTCCCTAACACAGGAAATAGCGGAGTTGTCTGAGTTGGGGTGGGGGAGGCTGGCAGGAAGTTTCTCATCACATGATTTAGTATATGTGACAGGAAGCACAGAGGAGCCAGGTATGTGTTAGGACCATAGAGCAGAGAGTCAACTGCCAGGCCACCACACAGATAGCTTTGTAATTCTTTGTCCCGTGGAGAGCTGCGGGGAGACATGTCCTGAGATCGCCAGGCTGTAGGACGTGGTCTTTCAAAAGTGACCACTGTCTTCAAAGGGGTAGGCTTGTGTTCTAACAGCCAGGGTGACATGGGTACCGCAGACGGCAGAGGTGTGGACACAGCCTGACTTCTTGGATCCATACATCAGCCAGTCGGACGCATTAGAATTGCATGCTCCCTTAGTCCACTAAGCCTTTGGCTCCTGTCACGGGTGACTGAAAATACTGCCAATGCCACCCTCCCCAGCTGGCCAGTTCAGGGCATACTGAATCCATCTCTCCCAGGCCTCTTGTACTTCCCTTCCTCATTCCCACCACCTCAGCCATCTCCTTAGTTCTCATCTGGATCCTGCAGATGCCTCCTCCTCGAGTGACTGTGAGCTCCATCACCACAGTCCACCGTCCGCTGTCGCCGCTGTGAACTTTCACCCCCTGCTCCACACCCTCCTCTCCATGCGCTCCCCCAGCTCAGCCCTTTAGACTAATTTTAGACCCTTTCTGGGAATCCATTTCTGATACCCCTCAAGCTGTCCCCTAACCTCTTTGACCAATCATACGGGACCCCACTACAGGAAGGATTGTACCATACTGTGATTTTTTTTTTCCTCTTCTGCCTTTGCCACTGGAAAGTAGGGAAGTTTATGATCCCTCCCCCAATACTCAACAGGTACTGTTTTGAATGGACCCTGCTAGAATTTTTATCTAAGCTGTCCTGTTGTCTTAGTTATTGTTCTATTGCTGTGAAGAGACACCATGGCCAAGGCGACTCTTACAAAGAAAAGCATTTAACTGGGAGCTTGCTTTTAGTTTTAGAGGTTTAGTCCATGATCATCATGGTGGGAAGCAGAAGGACATGGAGCTGGAGCAGAAGCTGAGAGTTTTACATCCTGATCTCCAGGCAGCAGGCAGAGAGAGAGACACACACACCGAGTAAGAGAGAGAGAGAGAGAGAGAGAGAGAGAGAGAGAGAGAGAGAGAGAGAGAGAGAGAGAGAGAGAGAGACTGAACTTGGCACGGGCTTTTGCAACCTCAAAGCCCACTCCCAGTGACAAACTTCCTCCAACAAGGCCACCCCTTCTAATCCTTCCCAAACAGTTCCACTAACTTGTGACTAAGCTTTCAAATACATGAGCCTTTGGGGGCCAGTCTCATTCAAACCACTACACCTGTCTTCTCATGAATAGGTAATTACTCAGGTGATTTGGTGTAGTGTGAAGAACTCCTGCTAGCCAGGTGTGGTGGCACAGTCAAATATCAAAGGCAAGGAAATGTGTTCTCAGAATACATGGTGGCGTAGGGATTCAGTCCTGGGTTCTGCATGACCTTAGGATTCATGGTCCTTCAAATGAGCTAGGGGGCACGTTCTGAGTTTGAGCCTTGCTCTGGCTCTGCCGTCTCCCACAGTTTCCCATCCTCTCTGGGTACATTAGATCCCCTTTCAAGAACTCTAACGTCTGGTTAAGGCTTCTTGATTTCAAGAAGGTCTTGACTTCCTGGTGTTCCTGTTATATCATTAGACACCATGAATACTGCAAAGATTATTTAAAACATTGCCTAGGGGCTCAGTGGTTAAGAACACCTGCTCTTCTTCCAGAGGACCCGAGTTCAATTCCTAGTAACCCACATCAGGAGGTTCACAACTGTCACTAACTCCAGCTGTTGGGATGTGGATCCCACTTCCTCTTCCGGCCTCCCCCATCACCCACACATACATGGTATACTCACAAGACACTTATATACATAAATAATAAAAGGAAAAGTATTTAAAGTATTTAAAAACAAAACTTTGCCTGAAGTCAGGAGTGGTGGTGCTCACTCACCATCCCATTGTTGGGGAGGTGGAGGCAGGAGGATCAGGGGTTCAAGTCATCCTCAGCTATATAGCAAGTTTCAGACAAGCCTAGACTAAATGGGACCCTGTTTAAAAGACAGGCTGGAGAGGCAGCTCTACAGTTTATTGCCTACTACTCTTGTTTGTTTGTTTTTGTTTGTTTGAGACAGGGTTTCTCTGTGTAGCCTTGGCTGTCCTGGAACTCGCTCTGTAGACCAGGCTGGCCTCGAACTCACAGAGATCCGCCTGCCTCTGCCTCTGGAGTTCTGAAATTAAAGGCTTGTGCCACCACCGTCCGGCTAAGAGTACCTATTATTCTTGCATTGGACTCAAGTTCAGTTCCCAGCACCCCCTCCAGCAGCTCCAGGAAATCCAGTAGCTTCTTCTGGCATCAGTGAGCAGCTGTACTCACATGTCCACACTCTCCACAGACAACACATACATATACTTTTAAATTGCCTGCCTCGGTCTCCTAGGTGCTGGGATTAAATGTGTGTATCACCACCCCCTGCCCCTCCCCCCTTTTTCTAATCTTAAAAAGAAAAATTAAAAAAATAAATAAATAAACCCACTGGACGGCAGTCTACAAAGTCTGCCGTTTTCTTTGGGCTTCTCCTCTTAGGTGCTATGTGGACTGTGCAGCAATGTCCACACCTCCACACCACTCACTTCGGTCCCGTCAAAACGGGCGTCCTGCGGTTGTCTTAGAGGGACCATCGCCTATTCGCCATCTTCTTGAAGGGGCTGGCTGTTTGGCCTGAAAACTTTTTTCTTCCATGATGAAGACACAAAAGGAGAAACCACCGGTGGCATGGAACTGAAAACACAAGGCCCTCAAACCCTCTCACAACGAGGTTATTTTCTGCAGATGATGGCAGAGGCACCAGGGTCCTTTTCCAAAGACCTGGGAAGGAGAACATAAAGGAGGTGATTATGCCGATTGCGTGAGGGCTTCAAGGACCACCGGACGAACACGGGGTCCTTCCCCGGGAGCCAGAACAGCAATGAAGGCTTCTCAGTGTTTGGCTGCTCCGACCTCTGCACAGAAGGGAAGACAGGAGGGGACCCGAGGGGAGCGGGCAGCAAACACCCCTCAAACACAAGATGATTTAATGCTTCCACTGGCCGTGCCACAGATAAACTCCCTTCTCCAAATCACTCAGCTTGGGTTTTTCCACCTATATTTATTTTGTTGCTTGTACATGACAACAGCAACATTTGTTGGTGGCCAGATTCGAAGACCAGGCCACGGCAGTTAGCAAGGGAACACAAACAGCAGGACAGGATGTGACAGCCAGGCCAGGAGACTTCGTTCCTTCCGTGCCCACAGGGCAAGGGAGCTGGGACTCCCCCGGGGGCTTGCTGTGGTGTTGGATCAGGCTGTATTTGTACCTCGGGCTGCTGAAGTTCCTTCCATCTCAGATCTTTGGAAGCCTTTGAATGTGATGGAAATGTGGCCTGGGACCAAAGCAGCAGCCCGGAGCCTGTGGCTGGCTAGGTTTATTTTTAGGATGATAGGAAACCTCCATCAAGCTTCTTGGCTTAGTTCTAGACCTCAGTTTCTCAAATGTGGGAAAGATAGGTCACTGCAACCAGGGGGAGAAAAGACCAGGACTTGAGTCTCGGCTTGTGTTCCATTGTCAGAACAACAGACAAAGGACACTTGGTACCATGTCTAGCATGCAGGCAGGCATGTGGGCATGCATGGTGTGTGTGTGTGTGTGTGTGTGTGTGTGTGTGTGTGTGTGTGTGTGTGTGTGTTTAGGTGCATGTGTACAACAGTGTACTTGTGGAGGTCAGAGGACAACTTTGTGGAATCACTCATCTCCTTCTATGGCAGGAATTGAACTCAGGTCATTGGATGTGTGTAACAAACCCTTTTACCCAGCAAGCCTTCTCACTGGCCCATGCCTGCAATTTAACCGGCACTGAAGAAATGTTTTGAGTTGACCAGAAATGTAACTGCTAAGAGTCAGTGGCATTTTGCTATATGTGAGCCCCATATTCTTCTACCCCTCTCCTGTCTCATGGCCTTCCCACATGCTGCTTGCTCTGGCTGGCTCTGTCTTTCCATGCTGGGCCACCTAGCTTCTCTCAATTCAGATCTCTTTTCAAATGTTACCTCCGCCGCCGGGAGGTGTTGGCGCACGCCTTTAATCCCAGCACTCGGGAGGCAGAGGCAGGCGGATCTTTGTGAGTTTGAGGCCAGCCTGGTCTAGAAAGCGAGATCCAGGGAAGGCGCAAAGCTACACAGAGAAACCCTGTCTCGAAAAACCAAAAAAAAAAAAAAAAAAAAAATCCTTGGAGAGGCCATTTCCAACGCCTCCCCCCCCCCCAAAAAAAAAATAGCCTTTTATTTTGCATAAACTCATTTATTTTATTTTAGACATGGTCTCACTATATATATAGCCTTGGCTGGCCTGGAATTCACTATATAGACCAGGCTGGCCTCAAACTCACAGAGATCCACCTGCCTCTGCCTCCTGAGTGCTAGAATTTGAGGCTGAATAAAGCTATTCTTGATGATAGGCCTGGAATCCCAGCCTGTGCAATTTAGTGAGTTCAAGGCCAGCCTCGGCTACCTAGTGAAATGGGTGTCTTAGAAACCAAGATAATAATAATTGTGAAGATTAACCTTCTTTGTCAACCTGACTAGATCTGGAATCACCTGGTAGACACACCTCTAGGAGTGCCTGTGAGGATGTTTCCAGAGAGATTGAACTGAGGAGGAAGGACCCAGCCCACATGGAGGTGGCACCATCCACAGACTGGGGTCTCAGACTAAATAAAAAGGGGAAAGGAGAATGCGAGCCACACACCAGCACTCACCTTTGCTCTGTTTCCCGGCTGCAAATGCAATGTGACCAGCAGCCTCACAGTCTGTCACCACAGCTGGACCACTCCTCTGCCACACCTCCCCACCATACTTGAACTACATCTGCAAACTGTGAGCCAGGACATCCTTTCCTTTCCTTTAGCTGCCTTGGTCAGGTCCCTCCCCCCTCCCCCCCCCAGTTTTAAAAATAATTTATTTTGGGCTGGAGAGATGGCTCAGAGGTTAAGAGCACTGCTTGTTCTTCCAAAGGTCCTGAGTTCAATTCCCAGCAACCACATGGTGGCTCACAACCATCTGTAATGAGATCTGGCGCCCTCTTCTGGCCTGCAGGGATATGTTCAGGCAGAACTGTATACATAATAAATAAATCTTTAAAAAAAAAATAATAATTTATTTTGCTTTATGTATGTACATGTGTGTATGTACCTATGGTTCCCATCGAGGTCTGAAGAGGGCGTTGGGTCCTCTGGGACTGCAGTTACAAGAGCTACCACCTGGGGCTGGAGAGATGGCTTGGAGGTTAAGAACACTGACTGCTCTTCCAGAGGTCCTGAGTTCAATTCCCAGCACCCACATGTGGCTCACAACCATCTGTAATGAGATCTGGCGCCCTCTTCTGTGTACATAATAGATAGATAGATAGATAGATAGATAGATAGATAGATAGATAGATAGATAGATAAAAAAGAGCTACCACCTAACGTGAGTGCTGAAACCCAAACTCACGTCCTCCAGAGAGCAGCAAGCCCTCTTAGTCCCTGAGCTCTCCTTCTCTCCAGGTCTTGTCCCGACCCATCTTAATAATACTTCTTATTGGTCAGGTATTTTGTTACAACAAGGAACTTATACAAGTAGTTGGTTAAAATAAAAGCTATAAGGATTGTCAGTAGGCACATAAAAAGATACCCAACATCACCAGTCATCAGGAGAACTTTAAAAAGAACAATAATCTTAAGTGTTGGCAAAAACACAGAACAATGGCGACTCATGAACACTGTTGATGAGGACAGAAAATAATAGTGTACCACTGCTAGCAGACAGAAGTGTATACTTACTGCACAGCCCAGCACCTTCACTCCCTATTCACCAAGAGAACTGAAAACGTGCGCAGGGAAGGGCTTGTATAGGAATTATCGCCACAGCGCCCCTCATGATAGTCAACAATCCAAATGACAGTCATCTGATGAACAGATAGACTGTGTCACTACACACACCACAATGGAGTACTACTCCACAACAAAAAGGAACAATCTAAGAAATGCCATGATGTGAGCAAACCTCAACGTCATCCTGCCAAATGAAAGCAGACACACTCAAAACGAGGTCCACATACACTGTATACACCACATTCTGAAACCAGATGGCTGGTTTTCTGGGATCGGAGGAGAAGGGCATACATTGACATTAGGGAGCATTTTGGAAGGATGAAGCATCTTTGGTGAAACAAATATACAATTGCTGAGACCCATCAAGTGTTCACAGCAGAAGGGTGAATTTTAGCATATGTTATCCCTCCATAAGGGTGCTGCAAAAATTTAAATATGTGCATATCTATGCTCACAAACCAAATGTGAGTCTCCCATACAGTTGAAGCACTTTGCCCCTTTCCTTTGCTTATCTATGTTTTGTGAAATTTCCACCACGCTTATGCAGGGGCGTGTTTGTAAAGAAAGAAGCAGCCAACAATAATTGGGTTACTCAACAAGGAATCTGTTTTGCTTCAACATTGTTTGCTTGTGATGAAGCTGCTGGTCACCTCTTTCTCATCTATCTTTTCTCAGTGGCACTTCTGAGAGGTGAGCTAAGGAAAAGGATACAAAGAGGTCCAGAACCGAATAGCGATGCTTTATCCTTCCAGCCCCGGACTTGGCTCGCACCTGGACTCGGGATGAATGCACAGTAGGTTAATGATAGGGGGCTCCTGGCTTCCTTTGCCGGTTCCACCTCCCATTCCAACCCAAGTCAACCCATGAATCCTCCAGGCCCCTAGAGAAAGTTGGCGGCCCGAGGCTGGCCAGTCTGTGGTTTGTGGGCCCCGGTGGACACCGCCTTTGCTCACATTGGTCAGGTGTGCTCGCGTGGTCTTGGGGAAGTCAAGAGCCCATTCATCCATTGAGATCTGCTTGGAGACTCTTGTGGCACAAGGTACTGAAGGACACGGCGTCCCTCCAAAGAGCCCCTCTGGGTAGGGTTCTCCATGTCCACAGGCCTCTGGCTCTCTTCCCCATCACAGGCTCTGTTCATCTCCAAACTTTCCACCCATGAAAGGGCCAGTCACCTCAGGAGACCTAACAGGTCTCAGATGGAACATGGCTGCTCCAGAGAGGTCATCCTTGAGTGTACTAAAGTCACACAAGATTCACTCGTGTGTCAAGTGTCTGTCAGGACACAGAGCTCTCATGAGACCGACAAAGCTACAACCTATAAACAAGGTCATACAAACATCCTGTGAACAGAACATACAATTTTCCCTACTCTAGCCAAGAAGGAACACAGAGGAAGGAAGCTCAATGCAGCTGGGTTGAGCACAGGGAGAGAGAGATCTCAGCTGTCCTCTGCTCTGTCACTGAGAAATGACAGGTTGAGAGAAGTGTTGGGGTCTCTGTCCTTGGGGCTCACACTATGTTCAGGACCTCGTTTCATTACCTAACACCCTCCCCATGCATACATGTAATAGCTGGGGCAGCAACAAGAACACACTGATGGAGAAGCAAGATGCCAGACAGACATATAATGGAATAGTAGCTGGCCGCACAAGGAAGGAAATTCTGACCCACGTGACAACAGGGATGACCCTTGAAAGGTGTTATGTGACGTAAAGGTCCCAAAAGGAAAAACACTGAGTGGTTTCACTTGTAGGGAACCACAGAAATGTCAAGTTCAGAGAGAAGGAATGGTGGCTACTTAGGAGCTGGGCAAAGCAGGGATGGGGAGTTGGTGTCAATGGGTACACAGTTTCCATTTAGGATAATACAGTGCTGCAAAGAGCGGACAGTTCCACCGCAGCATGACTGCTCAACGCCACTGGACTGTGCGCTGGGGAAAGCTTTACACCGGGTGTATTTTAACACGTGCACAAACGAACAAGCTCCGTGCATGCACACCCTGCCGGCTTTTCTGTAACATCAAGTTGTGCCTGTTAGCACATGGACCACGTCCTGTGGGGCAGGCAGGTGCTGCCTCTGCTCTTACCCAGGCAATGACAAGAACAATGGAACACCATGCTGTTGGGGGCAGCCATGGACCCTCAAAGCAGGGAGTCTGGGGAAAATAAAGCAGAGGCCTTGGTGGACACGATCGCTGAGGAGAGGCTGTGATTTTTGTCTCTGGGAGGCCATGCTGACAGAGAAACATCCCAGGGCAGAGAGCCGACTGCAACTCACACAGCTCCCAGGGGCCCCAGGGACAGAGTTGACATGGCCCTTGGTCTGGCCTATTTTTAGAGCCTAGAGTCACAAGTCTTCCCAGTAAACAGCCAGCAATTCTCAGGCCACTGTGTCGTTCATGTGACACTAATACAACACCAGCCAGAGTGTAGAGCGGCCTGGTGGTGGTGGTGGCAGCTCACGCCTTTAATCTCAGCCCACAGGAGGCAGAGGCAGGCGGATCTCTGAGTTCAAGGCCAGCCTGGTCTACAAAGTGAGTTCCAGAACAGCCAGAGCTGTTATACAGAGATACCCTGTCTTCAAAACAACAACAAAAGAATGCAGAGAGTCAGCTCAGGCCACCACACCTTATCTGCCTTCACCCACCATTCCCAGACTCCTGGACCAGGCAGCGTCATGAGGGAGCTTGGCAGCCTCCTAAGCATACAGTTATAAATTTTTATTCAGAACAGCTCTGGCCAGAAGTCACAGGGCAAACACAATGGAGACGTCTCCCTGCTCCAATCTGGATTCATTCCATGGGTGTTCCCTTTCATCATCAGGCAGGGAGCTTCTAGCTCTCCGGAGATCCTGCCATGTCCACCTTCTCTGAAAGGCAGGATATGATTCAGGCTGCCCAAAGACAAGCCTGCCTATCCAAACGCTGTTGTCTGTGGCCCTGTGACCCTGACCCTACTGGGCCTCAGTCACTCTGTGAAATGGCAAGAACATTCAATGACTCAGATGCCAGTGTCCAGAGACAAGCTTGAACATGTACAACCGTGAGGTAGTTTCTTCCGCCACTGTGCCAATTGCTTATGATGGACCTGGGAACAGTGAATGGCCAGTCAGTGTGTGTTAAGATCTCAGAGCCCCGGATCCTGGAAATGTTTCCTTTTTTTTTATCCCTTAAATTTCTAGCAACTGTGGTAATGGAGGTGAGGGGAAAGTGTCTGGTTAAGTGCAGATTATTGAAGTTGTAGGAGAAATCAGCAGAGGCAACCCATTTCCTTAGCTCCTGGGGAAAAGCATCACCCTGTCAAGGTGATCGCAAGCACACTGGATGAGAGCTGGGGTGCATGCGGGCTCTCCTGGTCTCCTTTGCTTTTGGGGTTCGTGAGTCACATATTATGGAAGGGTTTGTAGTTGTCATTCAGGGGCTCCCCCCACCCCGATCGACCAACTTCTCCTTCCCGTTAGGCAAGGAAGAAAGGCCAGGAGAAAAGCATCAGGCCCAGCAAGAGTCCCAGAGGGGAGAATGGGCACTGAGCTGTCTTCCTCTTCCCCTTGCCTGCTGCCCGTGGGCTGTTGGTCCTGTTGGAAGCTCTCCCTGGCTCTGGGTGGTGGGGTGGAGGAGGGGAGCCTCTCTTAGGCTCAACCCAGAGTGTCCTGCAATTTAAACAGGCTCCCCAGGGCTCTTCTTCCCGCTGCTCAGTTGTGACATCCTGAAGTGGGAATGGACTTGGACACTTCTTAGAATAAAACACACTGGAGTCGCAGGCAGGAGGAGAGCACGGACTTTTTCCCAGAAAGGGCCAAGGGGAGCTGTTTCAGCAACACAACACAGGGGACTCCATCCCAGGTCTCTGTGTAAGCACAGAGGTCACCTCTTCTACCCAGCTACCTAGATAAGGCCACACATTTTCCTCAGAAGGCCTTGGGGAGGAGACCACTGGAAATGTGGATACCACAGAGACACACTGGAGTCTGGGTCAAGTGGGATTTCCAAACCTTGCCACCTCTCCCTGAGCCTCAGTGCCTCTGAGGAGAAGGGTTCTGAGGTTTTGACGAGACAGACTCATCCAAATATGGCTCCAGAGCAGAGGGTGTTTGGAAGGTTGGAAGTTTCCTCTTCTCATTTGCCATCAGCGCGGCTACCCACTGTCTCATTTTTTATCAATGACATCGTGACACCCTCTGCTAATACTGCTGTTGTGTCCAGGCATCACGGTCAGGGTCACGGCCAAAGGCCCACTGGACCTGCTCTCTCTGGACCAGCTCAGATGTTCCAGGCTGGGATGGTGAGGGGCACATGGTTGCAGCCAGGTCCTCCCTGGGGCCCATCCTGGTTGGCCACACGCCCATTGCGCAACGGCAGGCGGCCAGGCCCCGGGACCCCGCTGCTGGGGCCAGACTCGGATGGCAGGCCCGAGTCGCTGGGCTGCACGTCCACCACCACCCGCCGGCGCAGGAGGCGGCCGGGCCGCTCGGAGTAGGCTTGCCTGTGGGCTCCCCAGGGTGGCCGGCAGAGCTGTGCACGGAAGGCAGCCTGGAAGCCGCGGCGGAAGTTCTCGTTGAAGTAGCCGTAGATGATGGGGTTGGCGCTGCTGTGGAAGAAGGCCAGCCAGTGTGCCAGGGGGAAGGCGTAGACGGACAGCAGGTGCAGCTGCGGCGCGCTCAGCTGCCCGTAGTCGATGAGCAGCAGCAGCACCCAGAGCGGCAGCCAGGACAAGGTGAAGAAGAGCGCCACCATGACCAGCATGTGCACCACGCGGGCCCTGCGGCGCGACGCGCGGCCACCCTCGGCCACCGCCTCCTCCGCGTCGCGCGCTGGACCCGGGGCCTGGCACAGCTTGCGCGCGATGCGCGCGTACATCACCACGATGAGCGCCAGTGGCGCCAGGTAGATGTGCGCAAAGAGCACAGCGGTGTAGACCTTCCGCATGCCCTTCTCCGGCCAGGCCTCCCAGCACGAGTAGAGCGGGTAGGAGCGGTTGCGAGCGTCCAGCATGAAGTGATGCTCCTCGCGCGTGACGGTCAGCGTGACCGCCGAGGGGCACATGATGAGCAGCGCCAGCGCCCAGATCACTGCGATGGTGAGCAGCGCCTTCCGGAGAGTCAGCTTCTCGCGAAAAGGGTGCACGATGCAGCGGAACCTGCAGCCCGGGGGTGGGGGGTGGGGGAGGAGGAGAGGCAGAGGGGTTTGGAAGGGTCTCCGGAGGCGAGGCCCAGCGGGCCAGAGCTGACCTGGTTGGGGGCTGCTGGAAGAGGACACCTGACTTTCATCACCGTTCTTGAGGCAGCATCCGGTGCTGCTGGCAGATACCTGACATTCATCACCACACTTAAGGAAGCATCCGGTGACAGCTCAGGCGCTAATCAGGTTAATTTACAAGTAAATTGGTTTGTCATTTGCGAGGGTGGCAACTCACTGAGTGAAATTGTTCTGGAGCCCAGGCTGGATTATTAGGTGAGGAGGAAGGGAACAGCTTCCCCCTAGAGGTTTGGATCTTTATTTCTGGAGGGGTTAGCTGGTAGCAGGCATCGCAGCCAGTCTGTGGTGAACATTCTGTGCTTGGGAAGCCTGACTAGGTAAATACACAAACGCTTTTTAAAAACATTTATTTAGAGCTCAGTTCTCCCTCTCCCTGTCTCCTTACCCTTTCCCTCTCCACACAAAAGACAACTTGCAGCAGTCAGTTCTCTCCGTCCACCATGTGGTCTTAGGGACTGAACTCGGGTCAACAGGCTTGGTGGAACCACCCCTACCCACTGAGTCACTGCACCAGCGCGACACAAATGTAACAAATGTAATTTCTAGCTGTTTATGTGTTCCCCTGAAAACCCAAGGAGCTGAGCGGGTCCGCGGCGGCAGGCCAATGCTGGGTCATCTCAACCATTATACTGAAGTGAGGAAAACATATTTGCTAAATCCTGACGGGATCTGGAGCTACAACTGAGGCCAGCCTGTGAGTACGTACAGGACTTACAGGACTTTTGCTAACCTGCATTGTTCTGCTCCCGAAACCTCGAGGTTTTCGGTTCCCCGATCCAACAGAAATACCATGGTGACCCAACGGTGCCCTGTTCTCCTTCAAAGTTCATATTCTGTCCTGCCTGCTAACAGCCATCACAGCAACATCAACGGGATGTACCAAACTTGTGGTTTTCACCTTTATAAACCCGCGGCTCACTCAGTTCGAGGCCCCGAGCGAGGTCTGTGTGGCTCAATATAAACTTCAGATTCATAAAGCGCTCATCCTGGTCTCCTCTTGGGTCGTAACAGCCCAGCTACAACAGTCACGAGTGTGTAGCGTGACTTTCCTTGTTAGATCCGCTCAGCGATAACTCTTGTTAAACCCCTGGGTGTTTGTTTATCATTTGTGAGACAGGGTTTCCAGCCTGGACTGGCCTCAAACGCCCCATGTGACAGAGGGTGACCTTGAACTGCTAATCCTTCCACCCTGCTTTCACCTTACACCCTTAATTTACCCGAGGCAAGGTTCTCCAAGGCGTGAAGCAACTAGGACAAAGAAAAGGACCCACCGGGGACCCCCAATTTGTCCATTCCCCTCTGCCACTTAGACCAGTAGCTGTAACACCTTCACTTTGCATGGACTCTCCTGGAATATATATATATATAAAAAAAGAAAACCCTCTCCACTGTGATTATTCTGGGAAGGAGTTATGGGGTTTTAGCATCTTCTTTTCTGAGTAGCCTGGGTTGGGAGTTGCTGGCAGAGGTGAAGGAGGTGATAGGCTCAAAGGCTGTTGCTCAACTGCGTGCACTTGAAAGTGGGTGTCCAACAAGTGTCCTAGAGTGGGTTTAGGTATGCACTTGAAAGTGGGTGTCCAACAAGTGTCCTAGAGTGGGTTTAGGTATGCACTTGAAAGTGGGTGTCCAACAAGTGTCCTAGAGTGGGTTTAGGTATGCACTTGAAAGTGGGTGTCCAACAAGTGTCCTAGAGTGGGTTTAGGTATGCACTTGAAAGTGGGTGTCCAACAAGTGTCTTAGAATGGATTTACATCAATACAGGAGTGGACGACTAGAAGAATCAGTTGCTCAAAGACCTTTCTGGACCTCGGTTTCCTTATCTTAAAAAACGGGGCCCATAGCCTGGCAGTGGTGGTACATGCCTTTAATCCCAGCACTCGGGAAGTAGAGGCAGGCAGATCTCTGAGTTTGAGGTCAACCTGGTCTGCAGAGTGAGTTCCAGGACAGCCAGGGCTACACAGAAAATCTCTGTCTCTAAAAAATCCACACACACACACACACACACACACACACACACACACACACACCAAACAAACAAAAACAAAAATAAAAAATGGGGCCCATAATCAACCCTCCTCTATGGGGTGATGAGGATGGGCTGAGACCACCCCACTCTGGAGGCATTCTGAATGCTTAAGACTAAGGAAAAACCAAACCCAAAAACTACTTGGACAACAGAGGAAAGAGGATCAGGAGTTCAAGATCATTCTTGACTAGAGTTTAAGATGGGCTACTTGATAGACACTTTGTCTCAAAACAAACAAGCAAAAAAAAAAAAAAAAAACCAGCAAGAAAAAGGAGGATTGTCTCCTTCCTAGAATGCCTCCCCTCATCCATCTGTGCCAGAAAACAGAAACACCCCTGCTGAAGACTGCGGGTGTCGGGCTCAGTTGTTTGAGTGGAAGGGAGGAGGTTGGCTCTCTTACAAGTCCACACGGCTCTTTAGGGACAGAACCTGCTTAGAACACAGGCATGATAGTCACTGCTGTCCAGAGGCCCTTTCTTCTTCATTCACCTGTGTCCTACCTACTCCACCCTCTCAACCTGAAAGCACTTATCTCCTTTCCCACAGCCGAGTCAAGCCTCACTGCCTCACCCGGAACGACCTTGGCCTTCTGGCTTCAGAGCATCAGACACTAGGGAACTCTCCAGAGAACAGTTGACTCCTGAAGCCCGTAAGTACTGTTATGAACTCAATGGCAATCACTAGGTGGAGGAAACTCCTAGGATCATTTGGGAAGGTTTCCTGGAGGAGGTGGAGCTTGATAAATTGTAAGTGTGACTGTGAGGGGTTTTATGTTTTCATGTCATTCACCAGTGACTAAAAAAACAAAACAAGCCGGGCAGTGGTGGCGCACGCCTTTAATCCCAGCACTCGGGAGGCAGAGCCAGGCGGATCTCTGTGAGTTCGAGGCCAGCCTGGACTACCAAGTGAGTTCCAGGAAAGGCGCAAAGCTACACAGAGAAACCCTGTCTCGAAAAAAAACCAAAAAACAAACAAACAAACAAACAAAACAAAACAAACAAATAAACAACAACACAAAAAAACAAAGGTTGGGGGCTCAAGAGATGGCTCAGCCGTTAAAAAATGAGACTCACAACTAAAAAGACATGAAAAAAAAAGTTAGGGGAGGAGAGAACTTCTCACATAACCCAATTATTTAGTGGCCTTGTAGAAAGGGGGACCCAGCTTCATCATGCCCTGACAGGGGAGGGGTTTGGGGCTGGGCATGTAGGGTCCTTACCTAGCATGCACAAAGCCCTGAGCTTAATCCCAGCAGCAAGGAAAATGGAGCATGATGGCATATAAGCCTAGGAGTAGGCAGGTAGAGTGAGGAGGATCAGGAGTTCAGGGTCATCCTCAACCACATGTGAGTTCAAGGCCAACCTAACAAAATCAACAAAAAAATGGAGTTTGATGCGGGGCAGAGGTGGGAAGGAGATGGGAACATGAGATTCTAGAAGGGGCAGAGCTGAAAAGGACTGGTGTTGGAGAGAGAGACCAGGAGGAAGATGTGGGTTGTTGTGGAATATTTGTATACTGTGTGAGGTGTATTGCTGTGATTGGTGTAATAAAAAGCTGAACAACCAATAGCTAGACAGGAGGCATAGGTGGGATTTCCAGGGAGAGAAAGGAAGAAGAGGAGGAATCTAGGCGCACAGGAGACGCCATAAGACCTGGGAAGGAAACAGGAGGTGAAAAATAGAAGAGAGGTAACGCCACGTGATAGAATGCAAATTAATATACATGGGTTAATTTAAGTTATAGGAGCTAGTTAGGAACAAGCCTAAGCTATAGGCCTAGCTTTCATAATTAACAAGTCTTCACGTCATTATTTGGGAGCTGGCTGTCAGGACAGAAAATGACTCATTACAGTGTGTATGTGGAAGAAATCTTGTTAGCAGCTGGTGTTTGGACCGGGGGCTAAGAACTGTCCGTGAACTTTTCAAACAAAGTTGTTTGAAGCCTCCAGCCTCTTGTTAGGGCATTTACCATTTTACCGATAAAATTCTTCCCAAAGTAGCTGAATGAGTGACCCAACATCACATAGTGGGACAGTGATGAGGACAAACGCCATCACCAGCTGTTCTGCCTACCTCCTAGTCCCGGGGCGGGGGGGGGGGGGGGGGGGGAGGCAGAGACTTAGTGAGGAGCTGGGGTAGGGTCACAACTGTGTGTTGTGGGAAGAAAAGCTTAAGCACTCACTGATCCAGAGCCTCACTGACCCAGGGCTCCAGCCCCGGCCGCATGTACAAAACCACGCTTAATCTAGATTGCGGGAGGCTGAGGCTGAGTGACCGGAAGTGATGGACATACAGATTGAATAAGGCCAGGATTTCCAGGAACCAGCAAGTAGGAGATGGGATACAGGAAAAAAAAGAAACTCTTCTATTCCAGCTCCACTAAGCCCATCCGCAGACAGCCTCCTCAAGCTCTGGTTCCCAGGGCTCAAACAAAGGAGAGGTAGGATTCCTGATGCCCAGGATGCAGACTGCCTCCAGCTCCAGAAATGACTATGGGGCCATGTCAGGAGTGGCCTCTGCCTTCCAGAAAGGGAAGGGGTGGCACCCTCAGCAGGCCTTCTCTGTGGCCTCCCAGCTAGTCCAGTGCCAAAGGCATGTGCTCTCTCAGTACCAGGCCCAAGTTACCCAGGGAAAATTTCTCACCTTTCCACGGCGATGGCCACCAGCGTGAAAACAGAGGCGGACACAGACATGCCCTGCACCAAGCCGCTCATCTTGCATGTGGCGTTGTCAAAAGGCCAACCTGTAATGACAGAGGTCCCCACGGGGTGAAAGATGCTTATCCAACACAATGCAGATCACCAGCTAGATAAGCCAAGCTCCACCCCCCCAAACATGGCTCATTTCTCCTTGTGCTATGAGGGGTCGATAGTTCTCTACCACCGTGACTGAGGAGCCAATCATTCCATACCAATGTGGACACTGCCTTTAGGAAGATGGCTTTTATGTTGACAACTGATTGTCTCTATGACCTTTAGGTTCATCTAGCCCTACCACCGCCCATCCTACTGTCCAGGCCGGGAAGGAGGCCATTCTTTCCTCACATTAGCCCTGCTATTATTATCTTATTATTATTATTATTATTATTATTATTATTATTATCATCATCATCATATATCCACAGCCTATATATTATTATCATACATATGGATACTAAAGTCGACCAAATAAGTGAACACAATATAGATAAACACAGATTTTTGTTTTTCCCAAGACAGGGTTTTGCTGTGTAACTCTGACTGTCCTGGAACTCACTCTGTAGACCAGGCTGGCATTGAACTCATAGAGATCTGCCTGCTTCTGCCTCCCCAGCGCTGGGATTAAAGATGTGCTCTACCACCATCCAGCTTAAACACAGATTTTTTTTCCCCACTGAGAACAAAGCTACAAATAAAGAATGAGGTATTGTTAAAATAAATTTTCTGATGTTGGACTAGAATCTGAAGTATTAGGATGTACCACAGTTTCTGAAATGCAGGCAAATGCGTAGTGAGTTCCAGGCCAGCAAGGGCTATATGGTGAGACCCTGACTTTAAAAAAAAAAAAAAAAAAAGACATGAGCCAAAGAACTCTGTGGCAATACGCATGCATTTCACAACTCTGTTGCTTCTGAGAGTCTCAAATCAAGATACCCCAAAGGTCTGGAAGTCAGACCTTTGTTTTTAAATATTGTATTCCTTGGCATGGGGAGATGGCTCAGCGGCTAAGACCACTTGCTGCTCTTGTAGAGGACTCTGGTTCAGTCCTCAGCACCCATACAGTGGCTCACAACCATCCATAACTCTCTCGTTCCAGGAGATCTGATGTCCTCTTCTGACCTCTGTGGGCACCAGGCATGCATGTGGTACATGTGTATAGATGCAAGCAAAACACTCATATGCATAAAATAAAAATAAATATACTCTAATCAAAGGAAACAAGGGTTTTTGAAGAACTAGTTAATTTCAGGGCTGATGCAAAGAAAACATGAGGTGATCCAGAACATTCTGTGGAGCTAGGAAGGAAGGAAATACTCTAAACGTCATGGTAGCATATGGGAAGGACACAGAAGCTTCCAATAGCCAGACCCAGAGCAGTTTAAGCAACAAAATAAACAGTAGTGTTGGATTAAAAGCCACGAAGCAGAGATCCAATTAGTAAGCACAGAGGATTAAAATGTCATTAATAGCAAACGGACAAGAAGCACTGTTGTGGGCAGCAACTGTAAAGTCCCTGTGAAGTTAGTGCAAAAACATAATGAGCTGTGGCATTTGCATAGTCTCGGAGAATCCCCTGCAGGGTACTTCATAATTAAGAGAGGGGAAGTAGTGACTTTACAGCCGAGAGGCAGCAGTTACCTACGGAATCAAGCAAGAAGCACCGCTCTTGTGTGCCTTCTCACATGTCCATGCTGCTCTTGCCTGAACGGCGGTGACACTGAAACTAACCAAGGTGTAGGGAGCAGGGGAAGCACCAGAAGTTCTGAGTGAATGTGCATTGTTAACATGGGCACAGCCAGTTCAAGGCGCCAGAGCTTGGACCTCTGGGACATCAGCAAAGCCCCTACCCATATGAGCCAGGCTCAAGAGGAATGGCAGAGCATTCCTCGGGAGTCAAAGTATGAATTTTTTGTTCTTCAAGACAGAGTTTCTTTGTGTAACCCTGGCTGTCTTGGAAGTAGCTCTGTACACCAGGCTGGCCTCGAACTCAGAGATCCGCCTACCTCTGCCTCCCAAGTACTGGTACTTAAAGGCATACGCCACCACTGCCTGGCTCCAGAGCATGAATGTTTATGAACAATTGACCAATGTATGAAAAGACTAGCGACTTCCTCCTCCTGGGTGTTTATAGCCTGAGACTGCTCCCCTAATGAGACTAGCTAATCCCTCTCCCTGTGCAGACCCTAATGAACACCACAATGAGGTTCTGGGTTACATCTGTAGTGCTAGAGAACCACACGTGACCCCAGCTTTACTGTCTATATCCATCCTTTAAAGAAAAGGGGAAATGTTCGCTTCACAGCTGTCCTAGTCACCTCAACACACCCACTGAAGGGTCCGAGGAGCCAAGCTGTATGGGTCATGGCATCAGAGGAAACAGCAGGGAAACCCATACTGCAAACAATGGATCAGCATTTTCCAAACTCTTTGATGTCAGACCCAGCACCTGTGACAGATCGGTGGCAGCTAAGAACACAATTCAAAGAGCTGGGCCTGGTGGCACAGACTTGTAATCCCAGCAACTCAGGTGGCTGAAGCAGGAAGATGTCAATGTCTGGCCTCCATACCTATGCACACACACTTACACATATATGAGAAAATGTATTCATACATGCATGCATATGCATACACATGCAAGAGTAAAAATTTTAGAGAGGCTGGGGGTTTGGAGAGATGGCTCGGTCGTTAAGAGCACTTGCTGCTCTTACAGAGGACTGGAGTTCAGTTCCCAGCACCCACATGGCAGTTCACAACCACCTATAAGTCCAGGACTGTGGGATTTGACTGACATCCATGGGCACCTACACTTATGGGTACACACACACACACACACACACACACACACACACACACACACACACACACAAATAGATTAATGCCGGGTGATGGTGGTGCATGCCTTTAATCCCAGCACTCTGGAGGCAGAGGCAGGTGGATTTCTGTGAGTTCAAGGACCAGTCTGATCTACAGAGTGAGTTCCAAGACAGCCAGGGCTGTTACAGAAAAACCCTATCTTGAAAAAAAAAAAAAAAGAGGTTGAGGATGTAGTTTAGTGATAAAGTACCTGCCTAGGATGAGTGACACCTAATTCCAGCCTCCAGTACGGAGGCTGGAGGAGGAAGGAGGGAAGGAAGGAAAGAAATAATGAAAAGCAGCGTGAGACCCTGGGTCCGACTTTGGGCTAGACTAGTGGTGCTAGTCTTAATCCAGAACACCATAAAGATTGAGTCTAAGCCGGGCGGTGGTGGCGCACGCCTTTAATCCCAGCACTCGGGAGGCAGAGCCAGGCGGATCTCTGTGAGTTCGAGGCCAGCCTGGACTACCAAGTGAGTTCCAGGAAAAGGCGCAAAGCTACACAGAGAAACCCTGTCTCGAAAAACCAAAAAAAAAAAAAAAAAAAAAAAAAAAAAAGATTGAGTCTAAATGCTCCAAAGCAACATTCCAGAAATATTAAACCCCTAAATACTGAACCTAAAAACCCAAATGGAAAACCTCAAACTCCGTGGAGGGGGAAAAATGCTATAGAATGGAGGTGTCAAGCCAGGCTCTGGGAAAGACACAGCAGCGTGCCCAGGCTGTCCCAGGACACTTGCATCATGTCAGGAAGGCAGGCAGAGTACCTGGAACCCTGGAAAATGTTATTTTGGTTGTGACATTAAGGATGTTTTCAGAAGAGAGTATAAGCCTGAGTGGGTAAGGTGAGGAAGGTCTACCACTAGAAACATGCGTGAGAGCAAAGGACATGGGCCTGTAATTACAGCACTCGGGAGGTGGAGAAGTTCAAGATCACCCTAGGCATTCAAGGTCGCCTCAGGCTAAATAAGACCTTTTTCTCAAAGACAACAAAAAAGAACTGGGAGTATTGCTCAGTGGTTAAGAGTGCTCGCCACCAAGCGTGACAGCCTGAGTTCGATTCCCAGGCCCCACACAGTGGAAGAAGAGAATCTACACCACCCGCCATAAGTTGCCTGTCGGTGGCCACATCAGAGGAACTGCAGTTGGCATTGGAGTTTATGGAGTACGGCCACCGGTTAGCACAGCTACAGCGGGCGGATGGGCGGGCAGGTGAATCCTGGAGAGGCAAAGCCCCAGGGAGTTCCTCTCCAGAACGCCTCTTGCTTCTTCTGTGCCTTCTCCTGCTTGCTGCTATTGGGCATGATGTAAGTATTGAGTGGGACAATGCCACTGTATCTAGTATAGTACGACTGTTTCATGGGAAAATCCCACTCCTCACCGGGCAATTTACATGCAGATCATAATGAAGAAGATTTTTTTTTTTTTTTTTTTTTTTTTTTTTGGTTTTTCGAGACAGGGTTTCTCTGTGTAGCTTTGCGCCTTTCCTGGAACTCACTTGGTAGCCCAGGCTGGCCTCGAACTCACAGAGATCCGCCTGGCTCTGCCTCCCGAGTGCTGGGATTAAAGGCGTGCGCCACCACCGCCCGGCATGAAGAAGATTTTTATAGAGCAATGACCCTTAGAGACGTGAGACTTGCTCTCACATGGATGGAAAATGAAAACAAGGACCCATGGATTCTGCCCGTGGAAAAACGGGATGATGATCAAAGATGATCAAATTATGTCCCTGCCCCCAGGATTAGGTCTGAGTTCCTTGGTCCTGCAGCTCACAGAATTCATCACGGGTTTCGGTGTGCACCCTGAAAAAACAAAGTCATGAAAGGAAATTAAATGACCCTATTGTATGTAAAGAAGAAAAAATAGATGGGTAGCTGGACTACTTGAGTAAAGTTTTGTAGAACAGAATAAGGAGTAGAATTTGCTACCCTGAAACCTCAAACAGCTGCCTGCCGGTACAAAGGAACTGGCTGAAATACGCTCGGCTTGCTTAGAACTTCGTTAATCAATAATAAAAGAATCATTGCTTTGGGGTGAAGATGTTATGGTGGGAAAAATAATTCAAAGGAAAATGTTCAACTACACGTGGACTTCTAAGAAAAACACATAACGTGTGATCATAATGTGATTTCTTCTTGTGTAAAGATTTTAATTTGTTTTTGGAAAATTTGTAACTTGTGGTTGTGAGGTA